TGAGGACGGGGTCCTAGGGCACTGCGGCTCCCAGGGATGCTCCTGTGGGACGGAGGAGTCCCGTGACTCTGTGCCACCCAGGGATGCCCCCATGGGATGGGGTCTCCGCCCCCTGTGGGACACCGGGGCACGCCGGGCCGGGGCTGGCGCAGGGCGCTGCTTTGTTCCATCGCCGGCTCCCGGAGCAGGAGCGGTGGGAAAGGCTCCGCTTTGTGCTGAGGCATCACCCGCATCCCGCTGAGGGCTCTGGCCAGGGCCCAGAGGCAGCTCCCCCCCAGCGCCGGCCTGACTCAGCCCCTCGTGACGGCCCTTCCCAGGCCCCTGGGTACCGGGGAGCTCCCGCACCCCCGGCCGCGGGGCCGGGCTCCGGGCAGGGGCGGCCGCTTGAGCCGGTCCCGCTCCGCTCCCCGCGGCGCCGAGGCTCGGGCCCGCCCCGCTCAGCGCTTCGGGGATGTCCTGAGGTTCCCCGCAGCTCGGCTTGGAGCGGAGCCACCGCCGGGCCGCCAGCTCCTGCCTTAAAGGCGCCGTAGCCTGAGCCGGCAGCGATGGATGCGGATGGAGCCCCCCGCAGCCCGCAGCCGGAGCGGGGCTCGGTGCCGCCATCGGTGCTGGTCCATTGGGTTCCGCTGGTGTGGAGGAGCCCCCGGAGCCGGTGCCACAAAAGCGGGGCTCTCCCTCGGGGTGGAACGGCTGAGCCCGGGTTCCCCCGCAGGGTCCTGCGGCGCTGTCGGGAATGCCCCATCCCTGGCAGTGCTCAAGGCCAGGTTGGACGCAGGGGCTTGGAGCAAGCTGCTCCAGTGGAAGGGGTCCCTGCCCGTGGCAGGGCTTGGGGCTGGAGGAGCTTTAAGGTCCCTTCAGTCCAACCCAGGCTGGATTCCGTGGTCCTGTCACGCTGGGGATCCTGGTGCCTGTACCCAGTGCCAGTGCCTGGCTCACTGCCCCAGCACAGGACCGCAGCCTGCGGCCGAGGCCAGGACTGCCGGCCAAGGCAAACACCTTGGAAGCCACTGGGGTGGCCACAGGACTCGTGCCCAGCCCGCCCGGCAGTGCCACATCCACCCAGCGGTGCCAGGGACGGTGGCCAAGCCCCGCTCTAAGGGAGCCCTTAGAGCAGCTCCAGTGCCTAAAGGGGCTGCAGGAAAGCTGGAGAGGGGCTTGGGACAAGGGATGTAGGGACAGGCCAAGGGGAATGGCTTTAACCTGCCCCAGGGGAGACTGAGCTGAGCTCTTAGGCAGGGAGTTGAGACTGGAGGAGCTTTAAAGTGCCCTGCACAGGGTTGTGGTGGGGCGGGTGCATGGGCTGGGGCACAAGCGCCCCGCGGCCACAGCAGGGGCTGGATGGACAGAGTCTGAGGTTAGAAGTGAGTTAATAGAAGCGCTCCCTCCTCCCACCCCGCCGCAGCGCGGGGTGATGGATGCTTCCCATATGGTCCCCATCAAGGCAGGCAGTGCCACACGCCTCTGCCCCAGCCGGGAGCGCAGAGATTAAAGCAATTAGAGCTGCAGCTCGTCTGGCTCTTGATGAGCCCCGAGGAGCGGCTGAGAGCTCCCGACGTTCCCCAAAGCTCAAATGTCAGCGAGGCTCTTCAGCGCGGCGCTGCGGAGCTGCAGGTGCTGCCGCGGCCCCCCAGGGCCGTGGGGCGCTGATGGCAACCGCAGCGGGGTGATCCAGGAGGGGCAAATGGGAGGCTCCAGGGGATGGGGTGGTCCCCGGGACTGGGGTGCTGCGGGATGGGAGCTGTGGGGCGGGGATGCTCCTTGGCCACGCTGGGAATGTTCCTCTACCACCGCTGACCCCAGGTGCGGACCCCGGGATCCCCTGATCCAGCTGAACCCCTGGGACTCAGGGACCCGACGCTGGGTGTGATGGGGTGCAGGACAGGGGGTGCAGTTTGGGGTAAAGGGCACTGGCCCAGGCAAAGGTGCGTAGGCAGGGGTTCGTGTTGGGACGCAAGGACAGGGATGCAGGCAGAGATGCATGCTGGGGTTCAAGGGCAGGGATGCACGTTGGGTGCAGGCTGGGATGCACACGCAGGGATGCTTGCCGGGGCACAGGGCAGAGATGCAGGCAGGGATTCACGTAGGGTGCAGGCAGGACGCTGGGTGCCGGCACCATCGGCGGCCCGCGACAGCCCTCTTGTGGTCCGGTGCGACCGATGGAGACCGGGACCGGGACCGGACCGGGGCTTCAGCTCCAGCTCCTCCCGCAGCGGCGGCCCCGCTGCTTGTGTGCAGGGCACGGGTGCGATGGGGAATGCATGCGGGGCCCGTGCGCGTGTGCGAGCAGGGGGAGCGTGCACGGAGCCTGGTTGTGAGCACAAGAGTGTGAGCAGGGCCCCGCTGCAGTGTGCAGGTGAGCAGGGCACCATTATAAACGTCCAGGGCACAATCACAGGCATTCAAAGCACCGTTGCATCACGCAGGGCACCATTGCAGGTGTGCATGGCCCTGCTGCAGCACTGCAAGCATGTCCCTGTTCCCTGTGACGTGCTGCAGCCGCACACTGGGGGTGGGCACGTTGGGTCCCTGCTGCACCCCAGCTCCTGCCCCACTCAGCCGAGCAAATCACTGGCAGTGGTGGCGAGTCCTGGGGGGCAGCAGGAGGGACCCCTTTCCCCATAGCAGGGGGCTATGGGGCTCACGTTCCCCCCTGCGCTGCAGCTCCTGCAATGCTGCCCCATGGCCATTGAGCCATGAAGTGCCAAGTCCGGCAGCAGCTGCATCATGGCACAGGACAGAGACCACGGGGATGGACACAGGCACAAACACAGACCTGCTGCCAGTGGGGAATGCTGTGGGTCACAGCCATGCCAGGGGGTGCCATGGCTGGGGGGGACCCACACATGGGGGCACAGACCCCTGGGATACACAGCACCCTGTGGCTGCTGGCCTCAATGGCACAATCCCAGCCTGGTTTGGGTTGGGAGGGACCTTAAAGCTCCTCCAGCTTCAGCCCCTGCCACGGGCAGGGACCCCTTCCACTGGAGCAGCTTGCTCCAAGCCCCTGTGTCCAACCTGGCCTTGAGCACTGCCAGGGATGGGGCAGCCACAGCTTCTCTGGGCACCCTGTGCCAGCGCCTCAGCACCCTCCCAGGGAAGAGCTTCTGCCTAAGAACTCATCTCAGTCTCCCCTCGGGCAGGTTCAAGCCATTCCCCTTGGCCTGTCCCTACATCCCTTGTCCCAAGCCCCTCTCCAGCTTTCCTGCAGCCCCTTCAGGCACTGGAGCTGCTCTCAGGTCTCCCCGTCAGGAGCCTTCTCTTCTCCAGGCTGCCCCAGCCCAGCTCTCTCAGCCTGGCTCCAGAGCAGAGCTGCTCCAGCCCTCGCAGCAGCTCCATGGCCTCCTCTGGCCTCGCTCCAACAGCTCCACATCCTTGCACCTGGATCAGGGCTGCAGGGGGGGTCTCCCCATCCCACAGCAGAGGGGCAGGATCCCCTCCGTGCGCTGCTGCTCACGCTCCGGGGGGGGGGCCCAGCACACGGGGGGGGTTGTCCTGGGCTCAAGCGCTCCCTGAAGCCGGGTCGAGGGGAGCTGCTCCTTCCCCCCAGCTGCCATGGGCTTTGCCATGGGAGCGGTGCCCTGGGGGCCGCAGCGGCAGCGGGACCGCCGGCTGCTCCGTGGCACGGGCCCGGTGCCGCAGCCTCATTAACCTTTCTTGATTAAGGCAATTATCCCCAGCGCCTTATCCTCCACTCCAAGCACCGCGGCTGCTGCGGGGGGAGCGAGCCTGGCATCCAGCACCCGCAGCCGGAGCTGCCGCGGCTGCGGGGGACCCCGGCGGGGCTGGGGGGGGGGGGGCGCGTCAAGGGGTTTCCATGAGGGTCATCTTGTCCCTGACCCACAGGCAGGGTGTGGGATGCAAGGGGGAGGTGTTGGGAAGGTCCTTAGGGCCCTCACATGGGATTCCCTGTCCTCCTGTGGGATCTCCCACCCCTGGGATGCCCATACTCGTGTGAGATTCCTCGTTCTCAGGATGCCCGTCCTCACATGGGATCCCCCATCCCCAGTGTTCCCACCCCCAGGGGTGTCCCTGTGCGCTGCCCCCTCCCCGCTCACAGACCCCTGGAGCCGGTGCCCTTCTGCAAGGCCTTTTATTCCCATGTCGGAGCCCCCCTGCTCAGAGGGACCCCATCACCCCCATCCTGTGCTGGGACCCCAAGGATGGGGTCCAGCCCTGGGACCCCCCCCGGTCACCCTGGGCAGGGGCTGGGGCCATGGGATGAGGGCCCATCACTGAGCGAAGGGTGGTGGGGCAGCTGGGAGGGGGGACACGGGCCCCCCCACGGGTGGGATGTTGGGGTGTGTTGGGTTTTATTCCCTATTTATTTACAGAATTCCCATCTGGGAGCACAGGGAATCCCGGCAGGAGCAGCGGGGCCGGGGCCGGGGCCTCCTGCCTGTGCTGGAAATCACCCTAGTGTTAATATCATTAATGATAATAGTGATGATAATGGGAAACGAGGCCGGGCTGGAGCCGGGACAGCCCCCGGACCCTGGTCCAGGCACGGATCCAGCCTCGGCACCCGGGACTGCGGGTGGGCGGCTCCAGATGTGGAGCTGCTGCACATCTGGGGAGGGAGCGCTGCAGATCCGGGAAGTGGGGGGAGAGCGGGTCCCACCGGAGCATCCATCCCGCCCCGGAGCATGCACCCATCCCGCCCCCGAGCAGCCATCCTGCCTGGAACAGCCATCCCAGCTCAGAGCATCCGCCCCGTCTTTCCCACACATCCCTCCTGCCCTGGAGCATCCATTCTGCCCTGGATCCATCCTGCCCCAGAGCATCCCTTCTGACCCGAAGCATCCATCCCGCCTAGAGCACCCATCCATCCCACTCCGGAGTACCCCTTCCGCCCTGGAGCACCCATCCCACCTTCCCTGGAGCACCCTGCCCAGGGCTGCCGCTGCCCCCCACTCCCATGGGTCTCTCGGTGTCTTTCCGAGGCTGAATCCCGATCATTTGGGTCGTTCCCGAGGCTCCCCCCAAGGCTCCTCTCCGGCCGAGCCACACCGGGGCCGGTGCCAGCCCTGTCCGGGGTCACCGGCTCCGCGGGGCCGTGCTGGGGTGGCCGCAGGGCAGCGGGATGGGGGGGGGGGGGGTCCCGCAGCCCCGTGCACCCCGATCCCCATGGAAAACCCCGGGAGCGGAGCGGAGGGGCCGCTCTCGGTCCTGCCCGTGCCGCGGCTCCGGTGCCGCCCGGCTCCCATGGGCCCGGCTGCGAGGGGCGGGCAGGGATCGGGGGGTCCCTTCCCTCCGCGCCCCGGCGGGATGAGGGGCTCGGGGCAGCCGCTGCATCCCGGGCCCCGCTGTGCTTTAGGAATAGGCCAGGCCCTGGAGCGGCCGCGCGGGCGTGTGGAACTTGTCCGAGTCCTCGAAAGCCGCGTCTGGGAAGCGGGAGGGAGGGAGAGGGAATGAGCCGGGATGCAGGAGGAGACGGGAACGGGGCGGGCCAAGGATGAGGGCGCTGCCGCCTCTGCGGGTGCAGGGACGGGCAGGGGACGGGCAGCGCCATGGGGCAAAGGGGACCCAGGGGCGTGCGGGCAGGGTCCGGGGGTACCCGGCGGGGTGCGGGCAGCCCCGCACTCACCCTGCAGGCTGCTGGTGCTGGCGCAGGCGGGCGGGGGGGAGCTCTGCGGCCGCACCACCGGAGCGAAGGCGCTTTTCTGCTTCACGGCCGAGATCATGTTCACCGGGGAGAAGGAGAAGACCCCGCTGGGGGTGGAGGCGCTGGTGCCCGACGGGACGGTGATGGAGGAGGCGCCGAGCGGGGGGCTGGCGGGCATGACTGCGGGGACAGACCCGCTCAGCGCCGCGCCGGGAGGCGGCACGGCCCGGACACCCCGCGGGGAGCCGGCTTCGCATCCCTTGGCTTTGGGGACATCCCAGGGCTGGTGCTCAGCGGCGGGGACAGCTCGGAGCTGGCCCGTGGAGTTGGGGATACCCCAGGGCCCATGTGTAGCTTTGGGGACACCCCAGGGCTGGTGCGTGGTCTTGGGGATGCGCTGGGGCTGGCACGTGGTTTTGGGGATACCTGAGGCTGGTGCATGGCGCTGGGGACACCACGGTGCTGGCACACAGTGCTGGGGACACCCAGGGATGGCGCATGGCATTGGGAACACCAGGGACTGGTGCGTGGCATTGGGAACACCTCAGGGTTCTGGGGACACCCAGGGATGGCACATGGCATTGGGAACACTCCAGGGCTTTGGAGACACCCAGGGATGGCGCATGGCATTGGGAACACTCCAGGGCTTTGGAGACACCCAGGGATGGCGCATGGCATTGGGAACACTCCAGGGCTTTGGAGACACCCAGGGATGGCGCATGGCATTGGGAACACCTCAGGGTTCTGGGGACACCCAGGGATGGCACATGGCATTGGGAATACTCCAGGGCTTTGGGGACACCCAGGGCTGGCACATGGCATTGGGAACACCTGGGACTGGTGCATGGTGTTGGAGACACCCAGGGCTGGTGTATGGCATTGGGAACACCAGGGACTGGTGCATGGTGTTGGGGACACCCAGGGCTGGTGTATGGCATTGGGAACACCAGGGACTGGTACATGGTGTTGGGGACACCCAGGGCTGGTGTATGGCATTGGGAACACCAGGGACTGGTGCATGGTGTTGGGGACACCCAGGGCTGGTGCATGGCATTGGGAACACCCCAGGGCTTTTGGGACACCCAGGGCTGGCACATGGCATTGGGAACACCCGGGACTGGTACATGGTGTTGGAGACACCCAGGGCTGGTGTATGGCATTGGGAACACCCGGGACTGGTGCATGGCATTGGGAACACCTCAGGGCTTTTGGGACACCCAGGCCTGGTGTATGGCATTGGGAACACCCGGAACTGGTGCATGGTGCTGGGGACACCCCAGGCACTTGGCTCTGGGGACACGTGGGGCTGGTGCAGAGCTCGGGGACACCCGGGGCTGTCACACCTCACCGGGGACACCCCCCCCCCCCCCGGGGTCCGTGACTCACTGGCATAGGGCGAGTTGGCGGTGGAGCCGTTGAGGAAGCTGGGGGACCCGGGCACCCCGAGCCCGGCCATGGTGCCGCCGCCGCCGCCGTAGCCGGTGATGCCGGTGCCGCCGCCGTAGCCGCTGTGCTGCGGCGTGGAGCTGGGCACGTACCCGCGCGGCGAGGCGCTGCCGGGGCTGCGGGAGTAGCCTGCGGGAGACGGCGGCCGCGGTGGCACCGGGGGGGGAACCGGAGCAGGACCCCCCCCCCCCCAACGCCTCTGCCCCCCTCGCACCTTGCTCCGGGCCCTGCGGGGAGTCACCGATGCTGACGGGCAGCTGCGAGCCGAAGGAGCTCACCCCCATGACGCCGGCGGCGGGGCCGTGGGTGCCGGCCAGCGGAGGGACCTGCCCCGCGCTGCGGGGGACGCTGTAGAGAGCCTCGGCCACGTCGGCAGCGCGCTTGAGGAGGATGTCCTGAGGGCAGGGACAGGGCACGGGGGGCAGCGGAGAGAGGGGTGAGAACAGGGGGGCCCCGAGCATCCCCTGGCACGGGATGGGTTCTGGTGGGGCAGGGGAGGATCGAGCCCCCCCCGGTTAGTGTCACATTGCAGGGCACCAGAGCATCCCCTGGCACGGGATGGGTTCTGATGGGGCACACAGGATCGAGCCCCCCGGTTAGTGTCACACTGCAGGGCACCAGAGCATCCCCTGGCACGGGATGGGTTCTGATGGGGCAGGGGAGGATCGAGGCCCCCCCGGTTAGTGTCACATTGCAGGGCACCAGAGCATCCCCTGGCACGGGATGGGTTCTGATGGGGCAGGGGAGGATCGAGCCCCCCCCGGTTAGTGTCACATTGCAGGGCACCAGAGCATCCCCAGGGCACGGGATGGGTTCTGGTGGGGCACACGGGACTGAGACCCCCCGGTTAGTGTCACATTGCAGGGCACCAGAGCATCCCCTGGCACGGGATGGGTTCTGGTGGGGCAGGGCAGGACCAAGACCCCCACAGTTTATGTTGCCTCCCAGGGAACCCGAGCATCCTGGGGTGTTATGGGGCACATGGAGACTGAGACCCCACAGCACAAGGCACCTCCCAGGGCATCCAAACATCCTGGGGGACAGGACGGGGTCTGAGGAAGCACATGGGGACCAAGACCCCCCAGTTTCTGTCGCCTCATGGGGTACCTGAGTGTTCCTGGGGTGTGATGGGCACGTGGGGACCCAGATCCCCCCATCTCATATCACCTCCAGGGCATCCAGGCATCCCCAGGGCATAGGATGGGGTGTGATGGGGCACACGGGGGCCGAGGCCCCCCGGCTCACGGCACTGGCTGGGAAGGCCATTAGAACAAAGGCAGCTCTGGAAGCTGCTGACCCCTTCCCCTGCAGCTGGAGGGCTCGGGGGGCCCCCAGCGCTGACTCAGCGCCTGAGGCATCCTGATGGGAAGCAGATGTGGGGCTCCTGCATCCCTGCTGCATCCCTGCAGGAGGGTGGGGTGAGCAGGGAGGGGGGTCCCGGTACCTGGTTGCTGTGCGGCATTCCATAGAGAGCCTCCACCAGGTCAGCGGCCCGCTTCAGCAGCACCTCCTGGACAGGGAATGGGGTGGGATTCAGGGGGATCCAGGTCCCACCGTCTGCCCCTTGCTCCTGTGCCATGCTGACACCCATGGGCGTCACTGGGCATGGGATGGGGGTCCCTACCTTAGGCAGGCGCTCGGGGTCCCCAGGGTGCCGGGGAATGACCTTCTGCAGCCGCTGGAACCCGTAGTCGATGGTGGGCTCATTCAGTGCTATGGGGGGAAACGGGGTCAGGGCCTGGCCCCACAGCCCCGGCTCCATGGGGAAACTGAGGCACGGACTGTGGGGCACAGGGGTGAGCCGTAGGGAACCCCCCGTCCCACACGGATACCCGGATCCAGCCCCTTCCTCACCCACACCCTGGCTGGCAGCGCTCAGCCCCATTGACGGGGGTCCCAAGGGGATGGGAGGGTGAAGGAGGGGGGTGACGCGCGGCACGGCATGGAGCTGGTGACACAGGACATGGCACATGGGACAGCACATGGAACACGGGTTGTGACACACGGCCCGTGGGGAGTGTCCAGTCCTCTGCTGCCCCATGCATGCGGCCCTGCACACACCACACGTGTGCATCATGCCCTGTTCATGCCATTCACATGTGCACGGCTCTGCCCACACCCCACACGTGTGCACGGCCCCACTCACACCACACATGTGTGCATGGCCCCACTCACACCCACACGTGTGCACGGCCCCACTGACACCCCACACGTGTGCATGGCCCCACTGACACCACACACACGCACAGGGCCCTGTTCTTGCTGCCTGTGGGTCTCAACAGTGCATTACAATAACTGCCCCCCACCACCCTGATCCTACCCCCAACCCTGCCCAAGACCCTCCCTGTCACCCCCTGCCCCACAGCCCAGCCCCATCCTGCCCCCAACCCTTGCCCCATGCCCACCCCCTTGCCCGAAGCCACCCACGGGGGTCCCCAGCAGGGCAGGGCTGTCCCTGGTCACCACCCCGGGGGCCCGCCCCCCATCCCATGGGGCTGTGCCCCCATCCCCGGCTCTGCCCCACCCCATGGCCCCCCCTCACCGGTGTAGACGAAGCGGCCGGGGGCCCCTTTGCAGAACTGCTTGGATTTGTAGGAGAGCGTCACCTCCACCACGCCGGGGATGTGCCGCGGGGGGGTCTGCACCCGGATGGCGTGAGGGGTGATGAGCTGGGGGGGACGGGGGACAGGCCTCAGAGCACTGCGGGGGCACCCACAGCCCCTGCACCCCCGCACCCCCTGCACCCCTCACCTCGCTCCACACCAGCACAGTGTGAGCACCCCCTGCACCCCTGCACAGTGTGAGCACCCCCTGTACCCCCTGCACCCCTCACCTCGCTCCACACCAGCACAGTGTGAGCACCCCCTGCACCCCTCACCTCGCTCCACACCAGCATGGTGCCGAACACGACCTGCAGCCCATCGAAGAAGTTGTCCCCGATGACGATGACGGTGGCACCGCCCGTGGTCCAGCCCTCGCTGGGGCTGATGGCTTTGATGCAGGGGGTGGCTGCTTTGGGAGAGAGGGGGCAGAGAGTGAGGGGGGAGCACCGTGGTGTGGGGCTGGGGGAGAGCTGGCAGAGACTGGGAGCACAGGGACAGGGAACTGGGACAGATGGGGGGGCACGGACACATGGACATGGGTGGGGATGGATGTGTGGATGCATGGATGGATGGAGGGATGGAGGGATGGGTGGATGATGGATGGATGGAGGGATGGAGGGATGGATGGATGGATGGATGGAGGGAGGGATGGATGGATGGATGGATGGAGGGAGGGATGGATGATGGATGGATGGAGGGATGGATGATGGATGGATGGATGGGTGGATGGATGGAGGGAGGGATGGATGGATGATGGATGGATGGATGGATGGAGGGATGGATGATGGATGGATAGATGGATGGAGGGATGGAAGGAAGGAAGGAAGGATGGATGGATGGATGGATGGATGGATGGATGGATGGAGGGAGGGATGGATGATGGATGGATGGAGGGAGGGATGGATGATGGATGGATGGATGGGTGGATGGATGGAGGGAGGGATGGATGATGGATGGATGGATGGATGGAGGGATGGATGATGGATGGATAGATGGATGGAGGGATGGAAGGAAGGAAGGATGGATGGATGGATGGATGGATGGATGGATGGATGGATGGAAGGAAGGAAGGAAGGATGGATGGATGGATGGATGGATGATGGATGGATGGAGGGATGGATGATGGATGGATAGATGGATGGAGGGATGGAAGGAAGGAAGGAAGGATGGATGGATGGATGGATGGATGGATGGATGGATGGAAGGAAGGAAGGAAGGATGGATGGATGGATGGATGGATGGATGGAGGGAGGGATGGATGGATAGATGAATGGATGGATGGAAGGAAGGAAGGAAGGATGGATGGATGATGGATGGGTGGATGGATGGATGGATGGATGGAGGGATGGATGGAAGGAAGGATGGATGGAAGGAAGGGAGGATGGATGGATGGATGATGGATGGGTGGATGAAGAGCACACTGATGCAGGGAAGGAGGGAAATTCATGCACAAGTTGTATGGACAGAGAGCAAAGAGGTTGGATGGGTGCCCAGAGAAGCTGTGGCTGCCCCATCCCTGGCAGTGCTCAAGGCCAGGTTGGACACAGGGGCTTGGAGCAAGCTGCTCCAGTGGAAGGGGTCCCTGCCCGTGCAGGGGTTGACGCTGGAGGAGCTTTAAGGTCCCTCCAACCCACCCCAGTCCATGAGGCTGCTATGGAAAGGCACAGAGGGGCACAGAGGTGGCGGATGCAGGATGGAGCCGTGGACGGGCAGAGGGGCAGAGCGACAGAGATGGGTGCGGGCAAGGCCCGGGTGTGGGGCTGGGCGCGCGCTCACCTTCGGAGGGGTCGAGGCGCCGCGCGCGCGGCCGTGCTTGGAGTTGTTGTGCACGAACATGTTCTCGGACACGGCCAGCCGTGCTTGGAGTTGTTGTGCACGAACATGTTCTCGGACACGGCCAGCACGTGCCCGTCCACGTTCACCGTCGTCGACACCACCACCTGCGGCCCCGGGCGCCCGGCTCAGCGCGGCCCGAGGGGCCCCCGCGCTCCCGGGTGCTCGGTCCCTGCTCTCCCCCTGCACCAGCGCCAGCACTGGGGGCCGCCGGACCCCCCCATGGCCTGGGGGTGACGTGGGGGCACGTATGTGCGCTGTGCCTGCAGGCGTGGGCATACGGGTGCGTGTGCCGAGGGCTGGGTGTGCACGTGTGTGTGTGTGCACATGTGTGTGTGTGTGTGCCGAGGGCTGGGTGTGCACGTGTGTGGGTGTGCACATGTGTGTGTGTGTGTGTGTGCTGAGCTGGGTGTGCACATGTATGTGTGTGTGCACATGTATGTGTGTGTGTGCTGAGCTGGGTGTGCACGTGTGTGTGTGTGCACATGTGTGTGTGTGTGTGCTGAGCTGGGTGTGCACGTGTGTGTGTGTGTGTGCTGAGCTGGGTGTGCACGTGTGTGTGTGTGCACGTGTGTGTGTGTGTGTGTGCTGAGGGCTGGGTGTGCACGTGTGTGTGTGTGCACATGTGTGTGTGTGTGCTGAGGGCTGGGTGTGCACTGTGTGTGTGTGTGCTGAGAGCTGGGTGTGCACGTGTGTGTGTGTGCACATGTGTGTGTGTGTGTGTGCTGAGGGCTGGGTGTGCACGTGTGTGGGTGTGCACATGTATGTGTGTGTGTGTGCTGAGAGCTGGGTGTGCACGTGTGTGGGTGTGCACATGTGTGTGTGTGTGCTGAGCTGGGTGTGCACGTGTGTGTGTGTGCACATGTGTGTGTGTGTGTGCCGAGGGCTGGGTGCGCACATGTATGTGTGTGTGTGTGCTGAGCTGGGTGTGCACGTGTGTGGGTGTGCACATGTATGTGTGTGTGTGTGCTGAGGGCTGGGTGCACATGTATGTGTGTGTGCTGAGCTGGGTGTGCACGTGTGTGTGGGTGTGCACATGTATGTGTGTGTGTGTGCTGAGGGCTGGGTGTGCACGTGTGTGTGTGTGCACATGTATGTGTGTGTGTGTGTGCCGAGGGCTGGGTGTGCACGTGTGTGTGTGCACATGTGTGTGTGTGTGTGCTGAGCTGGGTGTGCACGTGTGTGTGTGCACATGTATGTGTGTGTGTGCCGAGGGCTGGGTGTGCACGTGTGTGTGTGCACATGTGTGTGTGTGTGTGTGCTGAGCTGGGTGTGCACGTGTGTGTGTGCACATGTATGTGTGTGTGTGCCGAGGGCTGGGTGTGCACGTGTGTGTGTGCACATGTGTGTGTGTGTGTGTGCTGAGCTGGGTGTGCACGTGTGTGTGTGCACATGTATGTGTGTGTGTGTGTGTGCTGAGCTGGGTGTGCACGTGTGTGTGGGTGTGCACATGTATGTGTGTGTGTGTGCTGAGAGCTGGGTGTGCCCGTGTGTGTGGGTGTGCACATGTATGTGTGTGTGTGCTGAGAGCTGGGTGTGCACGTGTGTGTGGGTGTGCACATGTGTGTGTGTGTGTGCCGAGGGCTGGGTGTGCACATGTATGTGTGTGCATCCATGTGCATGTGCCAAGGGCTCTGTGTGCACATGTGTGTGCACATGTATGTGTGTGCATCCATGTACATGTGCCAAGGGCTGTGTGCACACGTGTGTGTGTGCATCCATGCGCATGTGCCCAGGGCTGTGTATGCACACATGTGTGTGCACATGTATGTGTGTGCATCCATGTTCATGTGCCAAGGGCTGTGTGCACACATGTGTGTGCATCCATGTGTGTGTGCATCCATGTGCACGTGCCAAAGGCTGTGTGCATATGTATGTGTGTGTGCATCCATGTGCATGTGCCAAAGGCTGTGTGCACATGTTTGTGTGTGTGCATCCATGTGCGTGTGCCATGGGGTCGGTGCAGGAGCCCTGCTGCACACACGGGTACATCCATGTACAAGTGCCGCCCCCCCCCCCCCGCAGCATCCATGGGCCGGGGCACCCCAGTCCCCTCCAGCCCCCCCGTTCCCCCTCTCCTCTCCCCGCTCCCCCCCCCGCCTTGGCTCCGCTCCCGGCGCCGCCGCCGCGATGCAAATTGCGTGGCTCGTTAATCACGGAAATGTCACAATTACCATAGCGACGAGAGGGCCCTGATGAGCGCATGAGCGCCGGACCCCCCCCCCCCCCCCCGCCAGCTGCGGAGCCCGGCGGCACCGGAGCCGGGGCACGGCGGGGAAATGGGGTGCGGGGGGCACGGGGGGGAAACGGGGGGGGAGAGGGGTAGGGAGGGGATCGGGGGTTACGGGGGGGACCCGGGGGAACGGGGTCTGCAAGGGGAGGCTGCAAAGGGGATGGAGGGGAAATGGGGTCTGTAAAGGGGGTCCTGGGTCTGCAAGGGGAGATTGCAAAGGGGATGGAGGGGAAATGGGGTCTGTAAAGGGGGTCCCGGGGGAACGGGGTCTGCAAGGGGAGGCTGCAAAGGGGATGGAGGGGAAATGGGGTCTGTAAAGGGGGTCCCGGGGGAACGGGGTCTGCAAGGGGAGGCTGCAAAGGGGATGGAGGGGAAATGGGGTCTGTAAAGGGGGTCCTGGGTCTGCAAGGGGAGATTGCAAAGGGGATGGAGGGGAAATGGGGTCTGTAAAGGGGGTCCCAGGGGAACGGGGTCTGGAAGGGGAGCTTGTAAAGGGGATGGAGGGGAAATGGGGTCTGTAAAGGGGGTCCCGGGGGAATGGGGTCTGGAAGGGGAGGCTGCAAAGGGAACAGAGGGGAAATGGGGTCTGTAAAGGGGGTCCCGGGGGAATGGGGTTTGGAAGGGGAGACTGCAAAGGGGATGGAGGGGAAATGGGGTCTGTAAAGGGGTCCCAGGGGAACGGGGTCTGCAAGGGGAGCTTGTAAAGGGGATGGAGGGGAAATGGGGTCTTCAAAGGGGGTCCTAGGGGGATGGGGTTTGTAATGGGAGAAATGGGTTTGCAAAGGGATTGAGGGGAATCAGGATTTGCAAAGGCATTCCAGGTGGACTGGGGCTAACAAAGGGAGAAATTGGGGGTTGCAAAGGAATGAGGGGAATTGGGGTTTGCAAAGGGGTTTGTAAAGAGGTTCAAGAGGAATTGGGGTTTGCAAAGGGAATGAGGGGAATTGGGGTTTGCAAAGAGGCCCCAGGGGAATTGGGGTTTGAAAAGAGGAGTCTGCAAAGGGAATGGGGGGAACTGGGGTTTTCAAAGGGGCTTATGGGGGATTTGGGTCTGTAAAGGGATCAAGCAGGATCAGGGTTTGTAAAGACATAAATTGGGGTTTGCAAAGGGGTTTGAAGGGGATTGGGGATTGCAAAGGGGACGAGAGAAGTTGGGGTTTGCAAAGGGGTTTGAAGGGAATCGGGGTTTGGGAAGGGAGCGAGGGAATTGGGGTTTGGAAATGGGGTTCGAGAGGAATCGGGGCTGGCAAAGGGGTTCAGGAGGGACCTGGGGGGGAACCAGGGCTGGCCAAGGGCTCAGGGGGATTGGGTGCGCGCCGTGAGCCCCCCTGCTGCAGGCCTGGCGCGGGCAGCGGCGGGGGCTCCTCACCTGGAAGCGCCGCATGTCCCGGGGGTTCCCCGCGTTCTTCAGGCAGTTCTGGTTGCACTTGAGGAAAAACTTCAGGAAAAACCTGGGGGGGAGGAACGGGGCGGTTGGGGCTGGAAAACTGCGCGGATGCCAGAGAGCCCGCGGCGCCCCCGGCCCCATCGCAGCGTCCCGTCCTGCTGCATCCCAGCATCCTGCCCTCTGCATCCCAGCGTCCTGTCCTGCTGCATCCCAGCGTCCTGTCCTGCTGCATCCCAGTGTCCCGTCCTGCTGCATCCCAGCATCCTGCCCTCTGCATCCCAGCGTCCTGTCCTGCTGCATCCCAGCGTCCTGTCCTGCTGCATCCCAGCGTCCCGTCCTGCTGCATCCCAGCGTCCCGTCCTGCTGCATCCCAGCATCCTGCCCTCTGCATCCCAGTGTCCCGTCCTGCTGCATCCCAGTGTCCCGTCCTGCTGCATCCCAGCATCCTGCCCTCTGCATCCCAGCGTCCCGTCCTGCTGCATCCCAGTGTCCCGTCCTGCTGCATCCCAGTGTCCCGTCCTGCTGCATCCCAGTGTCCCGTCCTGCTGCATCCCAGCATCCTGCCCTCTGCATCCCAGTGTCCCGTCCTGCTGCATCCCAGCATCCTGCCCTCTGCATCCCAGTGTCCCGTCCTGCTGCATCCCAGCGTCCCGTCCTGCTGCATCCCAGCGTCCCGTCCTGCCCCATCCCAGTGTCCCGTCCTGCTGCATCCCAGTGTCCCGTCCTGCTGCATCCCAGCGTCCCATCCTGCTGCATCCCAGCGTCCCGTCCTGCTGCATCCCAGTGTCCCGTCCTGCTGCATCCCAGCGTCCTGTCCTGCTGCATCCCAGCGTCCCGTCCTGCTGCATCCCAGCGTCCCGTCCTGCTGCATCCCAGCATCCTGCCCTCTGCATCCCAGTGTCCCGTCCTGCTGCATCCCAGTGTCCCGTCCTGCTGCATCCCAGCATCCTGCCCTCTGCATCCCAGCGTCCCGTCCTGCTGCATCCCAGTGTCCCGTCCTGCTGCATCCCAGTGTCCCGTCCTGCTGCATCCCAGCATCCTGCCCTCTGCATCCCAGTGTCCCGTCCTGCTGCATCCCAGCGTCCCGTCCTGCTGCATCCCAGCGTCCCGTCCTGCCCCATCCCAGTGTCCCGTCCTGCTGCATCCCAGTGTCCCGTCCTGCTGCATCCCAGCGTCCCGTCCTGCTGCATCCCAGCGTCCCGTCCTGCTGCATCCCAGTGTCCTGTCCTGCTGCATCCCAGTGTCCCGTCCTGCTGCATCCCAGCATCCTGCCCTCTGCATCCCAGTGTCCCGTCCTGCTGCATCCCAGCATCCTGCCCTCTGCATCCCAGCGTCCCGTCCTGCTGCATCCCAGCGTCCCGTCCTGCTGCATCCCAGCGTCCCATCCTGCTGCATCCCTGCATCCTGCCCTCTGCATCCCAGCGTCCCGTCCTGCTGCATCCCAGCATCCTGCCCTCTGCATCCCAGTGTCCCGTCCTGCTGCATCCCAGCATCCCATCCTGCACCATCCCAGTGTCCCGTCCTGCTGCATCCCAGTGTCCCATCCTGCACCATCCCAGTGTCCCGTCCTGTTGCATCCCAGCATCCTGCCCTCTGCATCCCAGTGTCCCGTCCTGCACCATCCCAGCATCCTGCCCACTGTATCCTGGTGTCCTGTCCTGCACCATCCCAGCATCCTACCCTGCTCTATCCCAGTGTTCCGTCCTGCACCATCCCAACATCCTGCCCTCTGTATCCTGGTGTCCCATCCCGCACCATCCCAGCATCCTGCCCTCTGTATCCTGGTGTCCTGTCCTGCGCCATCCCAGCATCCTACCCTGCTCTATCCCAGTGTCCCATCCTGCACCATCCCAGCATCCTACCCTGCTCTATCCCAGTGTTCCGTCCTGCACCATCCCAGCATCCTCCCCTCTGTATCCTGGTGTCCTGTCCTGCGCCATCCCAGCATCCTACCCTGCTCTATCCCAGTGTCCCATCCTGCACCATCCCAACATCCCATTCTTCCACATTCCAGCATCCCAATCTGTTCCCATCTCAGTGCACCGTTGTGCCCATCCTAGCATCCCATCACAGAGTCCCATCCTGTCCCTATTCCTTTGTGGCAACCTACCCTTATCCCACTGTGCCATTCTGCCCATTCCATTCTGCTGTACACCACTGTCCCATCCTGTTCCTATCTCAACATCCCATCCTTCCCCCATCTCAGCATCCCATCCTGCCACATCCCAGCTTCCCACCCTTTCCCAATCCCACTGTCCCCATCCCACTGTGCCATCCTGTCCCCACCACAGTGACCCATCCTGCCCCATTCCAGCATCACATCCTGTCCACATCCCAGCATGAAGTCCTGTCCCCATCCCAGTTTGACATCCTGCTGCATCCCCGTGTGCCAACTTGTGCCCATCCCACTGTGCAGTCCTACCCCATCCCACCATTGCATGCTGCATCCCAGCATGAGTCCCCATCCCAGCACCTCATCCTGTTGCATCCATAAACACCCAGTGTCAAATCCTACCCACATCCCAGCACCTCATCCTGTCTTTATCCCACGGTGCCATCCTGCCACATCCCAGCATCCCGTCCTGTCCTGTCCTGGCATCCCATCCTGTCCCCATGCCACATCCCAGTGTGCCAGCCTGTCTGCATCCCACTGTCCATCCTGATACATCCCATTCTGTCCCAGCATCCCATCCTGTCCTGTCCCAGCATCCCATCCCATCCCGTCCTGTCCCAGCATCCCATCCCATCCCGTCCTGTCCCAGCATCCCATCTCATCCTGTCCTGTCCCAGCATCCCATCCCATCCTGTCCCAGCATCCCATCCCATCCCGTCCTGTCCCAGCATCCCATCTCATCCTGTCCTGTCCCAGCATCCCATCCCATCCTGTCCCAGCATCCCATCCCATCCTGTCCTGTCCCAGCATCCCATCCCATCCCATCCTGTCCCAGCATCCCATCCCATCCTGTCCTGTCC